CAAAACTGGATCTCCACTTGTAGAAGAATGAAACTAAACTTCTATCTTTCACCCTGCACAAAAGTCAATTCGAAATGGCTCAAAGACCTCAATGAAAAGCCTGAAACTCTGAAACTATTAGAAGAAAACATTGGGAAAAACCTACAAGATATAGGTGTAGGAAAGGATTTTCTAAACTGGATATCAATTGCCCGGAAAACAAGGGCAAGAATTAGCAAATGGGACCTCATTGAACTAAAAAGCTTCTGTACATCAAAGGAGACAACCACAGAAGCAAACAGAAAACCCACAGAATGGGAGAAAATCTTCACCAGTGACACATCTGACAGAGATTTAATAGCCAGAATAAATAAAAAACTCAAAAAACAGAGAACCAAGACAAGAAGCAACCCAATTAAAAGATGGGCTAAGGAGCTGAACAGAGAGTTCTCAAAAGAAGAAGTAAAGATGGCTATGAAACATCTTAAAAGATGTTCAACATCACTAATAATCAGGGAAATGCAAATTAAAACTACTTTAAGTTTTCACCTTACCCCAGTCAGAATGGCTAAGATCAAGAAAACAAATGATACCTAATGTTGGCAAGGATTTGGGGAAAAGGGAACATTTTCTGCTGGTGGAGTGCAAACTGGTACAGCCACTATGAGAAATCAGTGTAGATATTCCTCAGAATACTAAAAATGGGTCTACCACTTGATCCAGCCATACCTTAACTCTTGGGCATTGTATTAGTTACTTTTCTGTTGCTGTGATAAAGCATCATGACTAAGGGAATTTATAGAAGGAAGAGTTTATTGAGATTATGGTTCCAGAAGGTTGAGTCCATCATAGCAGGAGAGGTGTGGCAGGAGGTATCCAGAGCAGAAAGATGAGCACTCACATCTTCAAGTAGGCAGAGAGAGACAAATTCAAAATGGGGCAAAGCTAAAGTCCATCCCCAGTGAGACACTTCCTCCAGTAAGGCCACACCTCCTAAGCCTCCCAAAACAGCACTACCAACTGGGGACAAAGTATTCAAATACTTGGGCCTATAGGATTCACTCAAACCACCACAGGCACATGCCCAAAGGACTATAATATGTGTTCATCCATGTTCGTTGCTGCTCTATTCACAATAGCCAGGAAATGGAAACAACCCAGATGTCCATCAGCTGATGAACGAATAATAAAAGTATGATTTTTTTACACAACTTATTCAACTATTAAGAAAAACAAAATTGGGAAATTTGGAGATAAATGTTGGGGGGGGGGTTTATCAACCGGGCCCAGGCAGGATTCC